CGCCCGCGGCGCCGGCGGCGGCCGCGACGGGCGCGCTGGCGGCGGCGGCGGCGGCGCGGCAGCAGGCGGAGTATGACGAGCTCGTGGTCAACAGCGCGGCGCAGAAAGTGCAGGTGCGCCGCGCCCCCGCGCGCACGGGCGGCTGCGCCGCGTCCCGCGCCTCTTCTCTGCGTGATCGGTGTGTGAGGCGCGCCGGCCTCGCGTCCCCACCTTTACCCTCGGGCCGACGCCACGCGAATGCGGGCCGCCGCGGGCGCGCGCCCTCGTTGCCGGACTGGTTTGCCGTCGGTGGCTATGGTTGGGCCCGCGTGAATAGCAACATTCCTCCTTGGTCTAGTACGATCCCGTCTGATCTGACTGATCTCTTGTGATCTGAACCACCGACCCTGTGCCCCCGTCCCCGTGTCCCCCGCAGCTGGACAAGCTCACGGTGGACGCGGTCGAGCTCAAAGCCGGCTTTGACAAGGCGGTGGCCGACGCGGCGCAGTACAAGGCCGGGTTTGACCGAGTGGTGGCCGCAAACTGGGCCCAGCGAGCCAAGGTGAGCCGCAATACCCTTTCTGACAAGATCCTGTGCATCATGCATACATCATTTGTAGTGTGATGCGAGCTGCACATGCTTGTATCCATTTAGAGGGTGCCATGTCTTTTTTGGGGGGGAGGGGCGGACAACAGTGGTGGGCAGCTCCCTAGCTGCGGCGCGCGGTTGTCGCCTTCGATTGCGCGCACCTCCCGCGCGCGGCCGAGCGTGGCGGCGTTTCGCGTGGACCCCTCTCTTTCGCAGCTGGACAAGGCCACAGCCGACGCGGCCGAGTTCAAGGCCGGCTATGACAAGGCGATCTATGACAACTTTGAGCAGAAGGCGCAGGTGAGGGGGGGGGGCGGGGCTGGGCGGCAGGCGCTGCGGTTGAAGAGGGGCCAGCACCATAACAAGCCCGGTCTCAAATGCACCCTCGCTGCAAGTTCTGCAAAACCGCACTGAATGGCAGCATGCGCGTGCGGGCGCGCACGCCAATGTGCTAGCCTACGACCACCACAACCCACGCGGCGCGCCCTTGGCCGCGAACCTGCCCCCTGCACAGTTCGACAAAGCCACTGCAGACGCCGCCGCGGACGCCGCTGAGCTCAAGGCCGGCTATGACAAGCTTGTGGTGGATGCGGTCGAGCAGAAGGCGCAGGTGGGACTCACTCACTGGCCACAGCCTGGAAGTTCCCTGTTCGATGATCATCGCTTCCCCCCCCCCCCCCCC